AAGTATCCAGGAATTTATCCATTTCTCCTAGATTTACTGGTTTATATGCATAGAGGTGTTGTAGCAATCTCTGATGGTAGTTTGTATTTCTGTGGAATCGGTTGTGATATCTCCTTTATCATTTTGTATTGCATCTATTTGACTCTTCTCTGTCTTCTTTTTTATTAGTCTGGTTAGCAGTCTATCTGTTTCGTTGTTCTTTTACAAAAACCAGCTCCTGTATTTATTATTTTTTTATGTTTCTATCTCCTTCACTTCTGCTCTGATCTTTGTTATTTCTGGTCTTCTGCTAGATTTTGAGCTAAAGGAGCATGTTCTAAACCAATACAGGGAAACTAAGAACCTTGAAAAAAGGTTAGATGAAATGCTAATGTGAATAACCAGCATAGAGAAGAACATAAATGACTTGATGGAGCTGAAAAGCACAGCACAAGATCTTCATGAAGCATATACAAGTTTCAATAGCTGAATTGATCAAGTGGAAGGAAGGATATTAGCAACTGAAGACCAACTCAATGAAATAAGGTAAGAAGGTAGGATTAGAGAAAAAAGAGTGAAAAGAAATGAACAAAGCCTCCAAGACTTATGGGATTATGTGAAAAGACTGAATCTACATTTGATAAGTGTACCTGAATGTGATGTCAAGAATGAAACCAAGTTGGAAAACACTCTTCAGGATACTATCAGGGAGAACTTCCCCAACCTAGCGAGGCAGGCCAACATTGAAATTCAGGAAATACGTAGAACACTGCAAAGATATTCCTCAAGAAGAGCAATCCCAAGGCACATGATCATCATTCACCAGCGTTGAAATGAAGGAAAAAATGCTAAAGGCAGCCAGAGAGAAAGGTAGGGTTACCTTTCTTTCGAGGGAAGGGAAGCCCATCAGACTCACAGCAAATCTCTCAGCAGAAACCTTATAAGCCAGAAGAGAGTGGGGGCCAATATTCAACATCTTTAAAGAAAAGAATTTTCAACCCAGAATTTCATATCCAGGCAAGCTAAGCTTCATAAATGAAGGAGAAATAAAATCCTTTACAGACAAGCAACTGCTGAGAGGTTTTGTTACCACTAGGCCTGCCTTACAAGAGCTCCTGAAGGAAGCACTAAACATGGAAAGGAACAACTAGTACCACTGCAAAAGCATACCAAATGGTAAAGACCATTGACACTATGAAGAAACTGCATCAACTAATGGGCAAAACAATCAGTTAGTATCAAATTGGCAGGATCAAATTCACACATAACAATATTAACCTTAAATGTAAATGGGCTAAATGCCCCAATTAAAAGACACAGACTGGTAGATTGGATAAAGAGTCAAGACCCATCAGTGTGCTCTACTCAGGAGACCCATCGCACATAGATGCAAAGACACACATAGACTCAAAATAAGGGGATGGAGGAAGATTTACCAAGCAAATGGAGAGCAAATAAAAGCAAGGGTTGCAATCCTAGTCTTTGATAAAACAGACTTTAAACCAACAAAGATCAAAAGAGACAAAGAAGGACATTACATAATGGTAAAGGGATCAATGCAACAAGAAGAACTAACTATCCTAAATATATATGCACCCAATGTAGGAGCACCCAGATACATAAAGCAAGTTCTTAGTGGCCTATGAAGAGACTTAGACTCCCACACAATAATAGTGGGAGACTAGAACACTCCACTGTCAGTATTAGAGAGAAGAATGAGACAGAAAATTAACAAGGAAATCCAGGACTTGAACTCAGATCTGGACCAAGTGGACCTAATAGACATCTATAGAACTCTCCACCTTAAATCCACAGAATATACATTCTTCTCAGCACCACATCACACTTACTCTAAAATTGACCACATAATTGGAAGTAAATCACCCCTCAGCAAATGTAAAAGAATGGAAATCATAACAGTCTCTCAGACCACAATGCATTCAAATTAGAACTCAGGATTAAGAAACTCACTCAAAACTGCACAAGTACATGGAAACTGACCAACCTGCTCCTGAATGACGACTGGATAAACAATGAAATGAAGGCAGATATAAAGATGTTCTTCAAGACCAATGAGAATGAAGACACAACATATCAGAATCTCTGGGACACTTTTAAAGCAGTGTCTAGAGGGAAATTTATAGCACTAAATGCCCACCTAGAAGCGACAAATGATCTAAAATCGATACCCTACTGTCACGATTAAAAGAACTAGAGGAACAAGATCAAACAAATTCAAAATAGGTTTATGGAAACTAAGTGGTCTCCAGGATAACACAGAAAAACAATTTAGTTTTTTTTTTTTTTTGGAGAAATTTAACAAAGAGGTTGAAATAATTAAAAAATAGTAAACAGAAATGTTGGAACTGATAAATATATTTGCTGAACTGAAAAATTTATTATAGGCTCTCAACAGCAGAATGGATCAAATACAGGAAAGAATAAGTGAACTAATTGAAAATAGTCAGAGGAGAAAATAGAATGAAAAGGAATGCATATTGCCTACAGGATATAGAAAGTCAGCTCAAAAGAGAAAATCTAAGAATTATTGGTACTCAAGAAGGAATGGAGCAAGAGCAAGGGGTAGAAAGCTTATACAAAGAAATGACAAAGGCAATAAAATTACTAAGTTGAAGAGTATCTACACTTCCATGTTTATGGCAGCAACATTCACAATAGCCAAGGTAGGGAATCAACTCATGTTTATCAACATCAACTCATGTTCATCCATTTTCTTTCTTTGATAAATGGAGAAAGAAAATGTGGTATATAACTATGATGAAATACTATTCTACCATAAAAAGAAGAAAATTCTGTAATTTGTGACATGTATGAACCCACATAACATTATGTAAAGTGAAATAACCTGGGCATAGAAAGACAAATACCACATGATCTCACTCATAAGTAGAATCTAAAAAAGTTGGATTCATAGAGAAGACAGCAGAAGTGTGTTACCCAAGGCTGGGTTGCTTGGGGGAAGTGGAGGATGAGGAGATGTTAAAGGATATATTAATACAGTTAAATAGGAGGAATACATTCAAGAGATCTATTGTACAGCATAGTGACTATAGTTAGTGAACATATATTACATTCTTGAAAAAGATACTGGATGTTAAGTGTTCTCATCACAAAAATGATAACTATGTGGAGTAATGCAATTGTTAATTAGCTGGATTTAACTCTTCCACAATGTATAGATACTTTAATACATTATATTGCACATGATAAGTACGTTTCTAAAAAAGTGGGAAGGGCTATATTTCAGAAAGGAGTAGGACTAGTAAAATGTGTCAAGGAAAGAAAGAAAGAGGATCATTTAGTTTCCTGGTACCATTAAACGCAGCTGAGACTGATGCCCAGGATCCGATTTTAGTAGTTTTAGCTTCCTCTAGGCACAGAACTTCAGCTTCTTCTTATCTCTTCTATGAGATCAGGAATGTTTCTGGTAGTTTACAGAGAATGGTTATTTCTTCATAGGAAGAACAAAATCTGATTGTATTCTGCCAGGCTTATACATGATTTGGTTGAGATATTTTAGGACAATAAACTATGCATAGTTAGTCCCTCCTATATTTAACAGTGCCACTAGCCTTCCTTCTAGGTGGCTTCACTTATTCCTAGCCTGGGAGTGTCCCCAGAACATATTCACTAAAATATGAGGTTTTGTAGAGAGAAGGTGAGAAAAAGAAACCTGGTGACTGAGAGCTACTATCGCTCATGATTAAATCCTGGCCTATACCTCTTGACTTTTCCTCTTCACCCTTTCTCTTTACCGTGTCCTAGACAATGTCCAAATATATTTCTCTTGCAATCTGAGTAAATTTCAAAGGCTCCATGTTGCCCAGTCTCAGCATGCTGTCACATTTAAAGAAAGAGTTGATCAGGCTAGACAGGGTGGCTCATGCCTATAATCTCAGCACTTTGGGAGACTGAGGCGGGAGGATCATTTGAGCTCAGGAGTTTGAGATTAGCATTGGCAACTTCGTGGGACCCCTATCTCTACAAAAAAAAAAAAATTAGCTGAGTGTGGTGGCACATGCCTGTCCCAGTTACTTGGCAAGCTGAGGTGGGAGGGTCACTTGAGCCTGGGAGGTCAAGGCTACTGTGAGCCATGATGGCCCCACTGCACTCCAGCCTGGGTGACAGAGTGAGATCCCATCTCAAAAGAAAGAAAGAAAGAAGGAAAGAAGGAAGGAAGGAAGGAAGGAAGGAAAAAAAGAGTTGATCAATGAAAAGTATGTAATTAAAATTAATTCAAACCTTTACTTAAGTCTCTCAAAGAACATTGATGGAGATCCAATTCAAAATTCACAGGATCATTTTTAAAGCTAGCTGTTTTCCCATTCTTCTCACCCTCCAGCTATCTCACAGCCCCCATGCTTCCATGGATTATGAATCCCTGTCAGATTCCTTAGTTCTCTGTGCTCACTGATGACTTATTTCTGCGCAATAGGGTTGAGTGGTGGTTGGGGAAGAGACATGCCAAAAGTTCCTTAGTGGGCTGTGGTAAAAGAGTCTATTGGTTTTGATTACAATGTACTTGAACTTTTAACGCTTTATTGCAATTACTTACCTACATGTTTTTCTCTAACACTTAGATCAGCAGTCTTCCAGAGAAGTATCCTAGTCCACTAATGCGTGGGAATCAGGCTGGAGTTATACTATTGCTCAGGGAATTGTGTACAATTTTCACTGTATGCCAAAGCCTGAAATAAGTGACTATAAAAATCTGGATATATGGAGGCAGTAAAATTTTACACAGAAAAATCTGAAAGGGTAGGGACAGCCACTACATGCATTTCTATTCCTTAGTTGTAGAAAGAATGAATATATGCATTTTCATTATGTAGACTGGGACTTATTTATGCCTTAAACTACAGTAATTATAATGTAGGTCTTAATCACAGATCAGTTTCTTTCAGCTTGAAGTTATTAGCACAGATTTTATGACCTACACATTTCTAAAAGGAATTAATTGGAGAGGAGGAATGAAGAAGAAAGAAGGCAAAGGCCAATTCTTTTTTTTTTTTTTTTTTGACTGTCCTAAATTGTTTATTAGGTATGAATTTTGCAAACTTTACTTATATTAGAGGTAACGGTGGAGCTGGAGAGTATTGCGCCTTCTCCAAGCTGCCCGGCGAGAACCACCAATAGAGTGGTGGAACTTACGGCCCTTTCCAAGGCCACGGCTCTTTGGGCCTGCAGATGTCAGCCCACGCATCTCCCTGTACTTGTGGACTGGTTTGGTGATCCATTGGGTGTCAGGATTTCTTCTGATAGCTTTGTGGAATGGATCAATGAGGATAACCCCAAAAAATTTGTATGTGGAATCTTGGCCAACCCAGTAAGAATTCAGGACTCTTAGAGCCCCACAGTGGCGTCCAGCTCGCTCCTCTGCAACAGACTGAAGGCTTCGAGCAAACTTCAGCTGGTTAACACCATGATGGACAGGCTTGCCGTAAAATTGCACCCTTGGGAACTGGGCGTTTTCGGCCACCACGGTGAACACGAATCCTGTATATAATGCAACCTTGCTTGGCCGTGTAGTCCAGTTGGCGCACTTTATCAGGCCGAGTGCGAGGGGAGCCCTGTGGAGAGCACAGAGCTGGCGGTACTGCCAGCAGCGGACCCTCAGAAGAAAGCGCATGACATCAGACTGCTTCTTTCTCCATGGCTCCTGGATGTACTTATATGCACCCATCTTGGCTTACCTGATGGCTGCCGCCAGACGGAAAGGAAAGAGCTATACTCCCCGTAAAGGCCAATTCTTAACTCAGCTGATGGATAGGACTTTTAGTAACTTTTCATTTTTTTTTTTCTCCAGGAAGGATAATGAATCTTACATTATCAGTTCAGATCTCATGATGCAGGATTTGCTTGAAACCCAGCATGATATTTGCTGCTAGAGATTTTATGACTCTGTATTGATTCTGTACTAAAAGGATATAGAAAACTCATTTAGACAAATAGCGAATGTGTGCTGGATGATTTCTCTCTTTCTCTCTCTTTAACTTTGCTTTGTCATATACAATTGCCACTCCTTGTGCTTGTGTGCTCATGTGACTGTATTCTCCTGGGTAGGATTCCATCTATTTAATTTACCAAACCTGTGATGCCATCCCGTTGGGTTGGAAAAAGTAGATGTGGTTTGGGTGCCAGAGTATGAAAATTCAGTTTCTGCTAATGTACATATCAAATCAGCAAATCACCAGATAAGTCAGTGGTAGAGAATTAAAAGTCACAACCTTGGACAATAGTACAGACTTTTCCAAATAAACATTAATTTCATTTTTCTATCAATGTTTTCTTCTTATAATATCAGTACCTTCTTGGAGTGGGTTTAACAGGAAAAAATTTGCCTTAATCATTCTTTTATGTGACATTTTAGTGACCATCTTTTTGTTGGATTATTTAAATGGAGAATTATAAACTATTTTACATTATAAAGACTTGTAAAGGACTTGTAATCTTTGAAAAATAGCATAGCAAGATTTAGGTCATCTTGCCAACTGGTCTGAATTATTGCAACTCCACACAGCAACTATTAGTCTTTTTCTTATTTTTGATTGCTTTGGATTTATCATAAATTTAATAACATACGTTTATACTTAGTATGTTTCTCTTTTTTTGTTCCCAAAACAAAAAGTATATTATTTTTATTCTTTATAAATTTTGGACTTTTATATATTTTTAATGTTAAACTTTTTTTTTTTTTTCAGGTGAATACCAATAGAAACTATTTAAACCAGGTAGGAATTCAACTGTTGGAGAAGTGATTGTAATTGTTTTGTTACACTTCTGCCCTTGTAGACAACATGTATTTGGGTCTTTCCTATCCACTTTGCCAGTCTCTCTTTCAAGTAGTATATTTAGACCACTCAAATGTAAAGTGATTTTTGATATAGTTGGAGTAATCTCTGACCACATTTTAAATGTTCTCTATTTACTTGTTCTTTCTTTCACCCTTTTCTGCCTTCTCTGGTTTTAATTGAACATTGTATATGATTTCATTTTCTCTCTTGTCTTAGCATATCAATTATACTTAATAATTTTTTTAGCAGTTGCCCTGCAGTTTGCAGTATATGTTCATAACTAATCTAATTTCACTTTCAAATAACACTGTACTGCTTCATGAATAGTACAAGTTCTTACGAGAGAGTATACCAATTCCTCTCTCCTGCACTTTATAACTTTTTTGCTGCTATTCATTTCCCTTATCTGTAAGCTATAATCATTGAATGCACTGTTTCTACTATTACTTTGAATGGTTAACTGTTAGGTCAATCAAGAATAAGAAAAACAGGCTGGGTGCGGTGGCTCAGGCCTGTAATCCCAGTACTCTGGGAGGCTGCAGTGGGAGAATCACTTGAGGCCAGGAGTTCAAGACCAGCCTAGACAATATAATGAGACCCCATGTTTACAGAAAATTAAAAACAAGTAGCCAGGCATGGTGGTGCTCATTTGCAGCCCCAGCTACTTGGCAGCTGAGGTGGGAGGCTTGCTTGGGAGTCCAGGAGTTGGAGGCTGCAGGGAGCTATGATTGAGCCACTGAAGTACAGCCTGGGTGACATAGCAAGACAGAGACAGGCTGTATTTATTGTTTGCTGTGGCTATAGTGTCAGGGGCTACAATTTCCTCTGGTGTCCCTGTTTTCGTGTCCTGTGTTGTCTTTGGGGTTTCCTGGAGACTCCTTATACAGAAACTGAGGCATGAAGTGTTTTTTTAGTGGTAATCCCCTGTTTTATAGAGGAGTACTATTAATGTGGTGGTAAGGTGTGAGGGGAAGGCATTCTATAGGCCTGTGATTAGGCCTCAGTCTTTTAATGAATCTAAGTTGGGTATTCTCAACTCACATGAAAGGCTGGAGAGGGCTGGATGTCATTTCCCTTCTCCCAGGTTGTCTAGGCTCTGGTAAAACCCCAGTCAGGCTCTGGTAAGTTTCCTTTGAGGGTAAACTTTTTTAAGGAGAACAGAGAGCTCTGCGCATATTTAAAAATGGATGCTCTCCCCCTTTTCCTGTGTTGGGCTCTCCCTGAGCTGGGTTCCCTTGGAGTTTAACTCTGAAGCTAGTCTACCATTGAGACTCTAGCAATTTGTCGGTTTTAGTTTTAAATGTTCTTATTGATATTGTCTCCCGCTGCAGGCTTCTGCTCCTGCTAAGCTGTGATTCTTTCTATATGCCTGTCTGTCTCTCCTCTTTTCCAAGCAGCAGTTTGACCTGTTTGCTCAATTCTCTGATCAAAGAAGAGTTGTTAGTTTTCAGTTTGTTCAGTTTTTTTGTTGTTATGAGAACTGGATTGATAAGTTCAAAGCTCTTTACATGCCAGACTGGAATCTGGAAGTCAACAGGCCTGCTTTAAAGGAAAAAGAAGATAAAATTCTTAACATAAAAGCAGTAGTCTATGGACAATTCAGAATAAGAATTATCATCTGACTACCAGTCTCACATTTAATCACTTGCTTGTTATGTTAGTAACATCTGGAGTATCCACATTACAGTTGTGTATATTATTAGGACTTAAATATGAAGAGTAAAACAGGCTTTGAGATTACAATTCAAGTCCCACAATTGGTTAGATGTTCATTTCCCTCAGGCTCTCTGTATATGCTGTTTCCTCTTCCTGGGATACCATTCCCCCATTAAATGAGATTCTGGCAGGGGATGGGGGCAGGCAGGAATAAGTATTCTCCAATAAGTTCCCTAAGTGATTCTGATAATAAACAGAGTTCTGGAACTATTGGATGACACATGGTTTTCTTTTATTACCCCTGACCCCCAACACAGGGTTTTTGGGTCCTTAGCCCCTTCTCTACAATTCTTTCATCTTATCATTCACCACATTGCACCATAATGACTTCTAATGACCTATGCCTTTGAGTTCTGTGAGGGCAGGGCCTCTATTCTAACCCCAGTTGTTTGTTTTAATGCACAATAAAGTGATTATGTCCTGGTTTGATCAGGATAATCCCAGTTTATGCTGGTGCTCCCAGCATAAACTCCCTTCACTCCCACAGTCCCCTGGTTGTGATGATAAATTATGATTACCCTAGTTGCAAGAATCTCTTGTCAAATCCTTTGTAAAAGATTGAAGATTTTTAGTCATTCATGTAATAATTTTACCGTTTTCCTTGGAGAACAGACATAATTAACAGACTGTGACTGTTGTTTATTATTTTAATTTACCTCTTATTGTAACTTATGAAGCCAAGGTTTTTGTGTCCCTTTCCCAGAAGAAATATAAATCTTGCTGAATCCTAGCATTATTTTTTTGGTACATTGTACCAGCTTGACTTTGATCTATCGGAAAATAAGAAAATAAAAGAGCCCTATCCATTAGTACCTCAAATTAGGTATCAAATTTGTGATAGGATATAACCATTAAACTTTTACTAAATATTGTAATAGGATTAGAGCATAGACCCATGATGTCTGCCCAAGGAGACATAACATTAACCTAACCTAACCTAACCTAATCCAACAACAGTTAACATTGCCAAAATGCCTTGTGTCCCTGAAGTACTTTACCTGGTTGCGACCACATGGCTTAACTAAGATTTTGAGCAAATCTCTCTCATTGTTTTTTATAACCAGTTGAGCTCTTCTAGGATGGGGACCCAGACTACTCTGGCAGTAAGCCATCCTACCTTATAGCAGAGGGCCAGAAAACATTTGAGTATTTTTTTGGCAGTGTGTTGGAGAGGAGATAAAGGGATAGTATACCTGTTTCTGGCTCTTAGAGTCTGAAGCTTCCATCTAATTGTGACTAAAGAGGAAAGAGATTTCTAACATTGGCAGATTATAAAACAGATGATATATAGTAGATATGTGATACAGATTTATCAAATGAATGAATGAATAGTCACCACCCATGTAGGACTTTATATATTCTGTCTGGGTAAAAAAATAAAAGTGTAAAGTATAAAACCAACAACAACAACAACAAAAACAACAAACCATCCCTCTCTCCCATTTTTGTCCTGAAAGCTATAGTACATTCATGGGTATAGAATAAAGAAATGGAAAGACATTTGGTAATTTTGATATTCAGTTAACCTAATTATGGTGAACAGATGTTCTAAAACCTACTTATAAATTTAAGCAAAATTAACATGATATTCTATGAGAGCATTTTATTTCATAGAATGATTATGCTTGATAAAAAAGGGACGTGTCATTTTTTCTTCTTAGCTTTCACACTAAATAGAAATTGAAATTGATAATAGAAATTTAAAAAATTATACAAAGGATCTCATATTTAGTGTTAAGGAAATCAAAATTATTGAAAAGTTGGTTACAAACCAAGATTCATTATCTATTTTCATTTTCAAGTTGCAGTCTGCTGCCCTACAGAGAAAATATGTTACTTGGCACGCTAGTGATATGTAGAAATTAATATAGCTTCCTAAAGTGCTCAGCTTTTTCAATATAACCTTATAACATTTGGATGGAAACTTGGCCTTTTAATCTACATAACAATAAATACTAAATTTGTAGGTTAAGGAATAAAACAACCTAGATGTATAGGTTTATTTGGTTTCTGATACTAAAGTTTGGTACAATTTGGCAAGGTACCTAACTTTTTTGAGCTTCAATTGCTGAGCCTATAAACATAAGAGGTGATATACGTGATATTTGACACTGTAAAAAATTCAAACTAGAAGATAGGAAGACAGCTATAGGACTAATTACATGGCTGATTATATGAGCATGGACTCACTACAATCACATAGAAATGTTTGAAAAACTACAACAAAAATTAAAATAAATCCATAGCAGAGCTATAAATAAATAAATAAATAAGAAAACAAATAAATAAATAAAATTCCCAATCAAATGAATAGGGAAAAGATAGTTGGAATAAAAATGCAGGAGCTGTCTCTCTGGCTGTCCATGTGGTTGGAGGACTCAGATGCAGGCTTTGGAAATGAGAGGCTTCAATTTTATCACACCCTCCTGGACAGAATATGTGATATTAGAATTGCACAAAGCTGGGGCCTAACCCTTTGATCTCTGTACAAAACAAGGACTTTGAAATATCAGTCTCTCTTGGAAAAGGGAGAAGAAAAGCTGTTCAGTATTTCAATAGAGCTTCAAGAATGCTTTTATCTGGTTTGGGATCTGTATAGAAAAAAGGCTCCTGTGATAATTCTGAGACTTATTTCTATACTATGCCCAGATTTAGTCAGAATTTATAGTTCACATGTGGTGTGGGAGTCCTGAGCCAATAAATTAATATAAGAACAAATCTTATATTAGGGAACTCTCTGGAATACCTGCAAGAAATGATTGTAAAACACTTTTGAGGAGATATTTTTATGAAAGATACATAAAGCTCTTATTTTAAAAAAAGTTTATAGTAAAGATGAGCTCCCAGTAAAAAATTACAAACCACATGAGATAGTTTGGATATTTGTCCCCTTAAAACCTCATGTTGAAATGTGATCCCCAATGTTGGAGGTGGGGCCTAATGGGAGGTGATTGGGTCATGGCAGCTTGAAAGGCTTGGTGCCCTCCCCATGGTAATGAGTGAGTTTTTACTCTGCTAGTTTATGTGAGAGCTGGTTGTTTAAAAGAGCCTGGCTTCTCCTCCTTTTTCTCTTGCTCCCTCTCCCACCATGTGACATGTCAGCTCCTTTTCCCTTCTTCATGATTAAAAATTTCCTGAGACCTCACCAGAAGCTGAGCAGATGCAGATGCCATGGTTATTGTATGGCCTGAAGGACTCTGAGCCAAACAAACCTCTTTCTTTACAAATTGTCCAGTCTCAGGTATTCCTTTATAGTAATGCAAATGGACTAACACACCACATGAAGAACTACTTTATCATTTGAAGTGGACAGACACAGTGAATACAATTGGCAAACTTAGACCTTGAGATAATATAAAAGATTTCAAGAGACCATTAAGTAAGCATGATTTATATAATTATTGGTATACAAATAAATTAAAGCAAAATGTAAGAAAATAAATATTGTGAAAAGTAGAAAATAAATATTATGAGAAATAACTAGATAGATCTTTTTTGGAGGAAAGGGATAGGGTCTAATTCTGTTGCCCCACCTGAAGTGCAGTGGTGTGATCACAGCTTATAGCAGCCTCAATCTTCAAAGGCTCAGGTGATCCTCATGCCTCAGTCCCTTGAGTAGCTGGGACTACTAGTGCATACCACCACATTCACCTAACTTTTGTATTTTTAGTAGAGATGGGGTTTTGCCATGCTGGCCAAGCTGGTCTTGAACTCCTGACTCAAGTGATCCACCCACCTTGGCCTTCCAAAGTTCTGGGATTTACAGGCATGAGCCACCATACCTGGCCTTAGCTAGATCTTCTAGAAATAAATAGTCATAGAAATTAAAAATGCAATAATTTGGATTAAAGAACAGATTAGATGTAGCATCAGAGAGACCTAAAAAAACTAAATAGAATATAGCATGTAGGGTTTGAGAGGAAAAAAATGAATGAGAAATGTGAGAGTAGAGTGAGAAGGTTCAGAAAGAGGTGATAGAATAAGGAAGAAGTACCATTCAAAGTAATAATGATTGACAGTTTCTCAAAATTGATGAAAGATATGAAAACTTAGATTGAATAAACAATTAATTCTGTGTGAAATAAAAAATAAACTCATGCTTTGATATATTAGACAAACTGCAGAACACCAATGACAAAATGAAAAATCTTAAAAGCAATGAGAGAGAAATGACAAATTATTTATAAAGTAATGGCAATGTGACAGATTATCAATACTCAGCAACAGTAGAGGTTAGACAGCAATGAAATAATATCTTCAAAAGACTGAAGGGAGATAACTTTTAACCTATCTAAAATATCATGTAAGAATAAAGTGAAAATAAAGCTATTTTTAGATGAAATCTGAAAGGCTTTACTACTCACTGACTCTAACAAAAAATAAAACATTCACTGACCCTAATAAAAAATAACTCTTAAGTGGGGCACTGAGTACAGAAGAAAGGAGTGGGATGTAAAATGCAAAGTAAATATTAAGTGGCGTCACTTAAAATTGTTGATACTTGGCTAATTTTGAAATATAAAAATAGCAATTTAGGCCAGGCACATTGGCTTACACCTGTAATCCCAGCACTTTGGGAGGCTGAGGAGGGTGTACACTTGAGGTCAGGACCAGCCTGGTCAGCATGGCGAAACCCCATCTCTACTAAATACACAAAAATTAGCTGGGTGTGGTGGTAGGTGCCTGTAGTTCCAGCTACTTGAGAGGCTGAGGCAGAGGAATCACTTGACCCTGAGAAGCAAAGATTGCAATGAGCCAAGATTGTACCACTGCACTCCAGCCTGGGTGACAGAGCAAGATTCTGCCTCAAAAAAAAAAAAAAATTAATATGGTCTAACCTAGTACTAATAAGTATTGGTCTAAATAACAATGACAATAATAATAATGATTAATTTTGGAGGATTTGAAAATAAAGTGGAACTAAAATACAAA